CACATCTGGCTGATCGTCCAACCATCCCGTGGCCTCCGTCGATTCCTCTTCCACAGCTGTCAAATCATCTGTTCCCTGTCTTGGACTGTCCCCTTGGATTGTACACAGCTCTCCTTCTGCTGGAAATTCACATCTGGTCTATTCTGGCCCATCGGTGAAATGTAGTCACTCGGACTATAGGCATTCCCAACATCACTCCCGGACTCCGCAGACTCTGGCTCGACAACCCCCTTTTCCTTTGGAGTCTTCTCTTTCCTGCTCTCGATGGTCACCACCACAGGCTTGGGTTGGGTTATGGAGACGTCCATCATGCACAAATCGGTGCAATCAGGAAGGAAAACCTCCGGCTTAGGTAGGTAGGAGGGTGTGATATAGATACTAGGATCGTAGGATGCGGCCCCAGTGTGGATGAAATTGATTCTTTTGGGTGGTGGAGCTTGGTTATGTGTGGGGAGAGGATTTGTAGTAACATTGGGTTTCTCAGGAGGTAAAATCACCCTGTTATCAATGAGATCTTGAATCTCATGACGCAATCGAAAGCATAGGTCGGTGCCGTGACCGTGCTGCTGGTGGAACGCACAATACTTGGCTGGATTGTGGGCAGCGGGGAGACTTTCCGGTAAGGGCCGCGGCTCTAGGGGCTTCAGATGCCCTTTTCTGATCAAAACCCCCAAAGCTTTGGACAGGGGCATATAAAGCGGAGCGAAGGTTCTGGTATTTTTGGGAGGGTATTTGGCTGTTTGTGGGTTGCTTCCGGACGCACCGGAGAATGGTGTGGCTGCCATAGTTCTTGGGGAAGGGTTGGTGGTGACCATACTCACTTCGGAGGTCCTGGTAGTTGTAGCGCCACTCGGACCTGCATTAGTATTATGATTGAAAGTTCTGCGGGGTTGCTCCCGGTCGTTATCAATCAGGCCTTGTTTTAAGGCATCCTCGATCTGCACCCCCATTTCATGCAGATCAGCAAAGGTAGGGAAGGGCAGTACAATCATCTTTTGCATTAGCTTCGGCTGAAGATTGCGCACAATCATCCGAATCTGGTCTTTGTCCGTGGGCCTTAAGGCCATCATCGAAGCCTTTGCCCGCCATCTGGTTACGAATTTTGAGAAGCTCTCCTTGGGTTCTTGCCTCGTTGTCTCGAGATCCCGGGTCGTGATCTCGATTTGTGTATTATATGAGTACTGCATGATGAAGACCTCAGCCATCTCATCCCAACTTCTCTTGACGTCATCCTCCAATTTGGCATACCACGTGGCCGTTACACCCGACAGGGTCCGGCCAAATAAAGACAGCTTCTGCAGTCTAGTGAGGCCCATTGGCCTTAGGACGTCTGAAAATAGTCGTAGGTGTACCATGGGATCCTCAGATCCGTCAAAACGATCAATTTGTGGCATCTTAAACCGATCTGGCAGCGTCACGAAAATAGTCGCAAGTGTACCATGGGATCCTCAGATCCATCAAAACGATCAATTTGTGGCATCTTAAACAGATCTGGCAGCGTTACGGCTGCGTTAGTGTATCTGTCTCCAATGTCCGGAATAGACTTCACTCCTTGAGATTTCTTGAACAGCTTTTCAAGTTTGCGCATTTTTAATGCCACGGGGTCTACCTCGGACTCGAAAGGAGAATCCTATTGATTGATGGGAGTGGGTGCCTTGGATAGTTGAGGTAGAATCGGGGGTGGAGCCGGCCCCGTTGGGATGTCTGTATCTTCCTGGACATTCCGGGCATTTGGCGTCTCTTCGGGTATCGGAACCCTTAGTGGGGGAGGGACTTGCTGTGAAGCTGACGCCCCAGTTTGCTACTGCAATCTCACGATTAACTCCGCTTGCTCATTCAGAACTGTGGCTTGTTGTTTGGCGAATTCTGCCTGTCGGACAGCATCCTGCTGCATTACTTTCATGCTTTCTTGGAGTTGGCACACCATCTCTTCTAAACTAGCCATGCTGCTCTGTTTTGACTGAATTGTCGGTGTATGTTCCCTTTCTGCGGGTGAAACAGGATCCTGATCCCTACTGTACACAGGTGGGGTAGATAAAGCCCTCTGTATTGACTGTTGAACTGATGCCCTCTGCCTAGTTGCCTTCCGTTTAGTAACCGGGGGTAGAGAGTGGTACACTGGCTGTCCGTCTACCAGATCCTCAGATCGATGGAGCCGATGACCTCTGATCCAGAGTGCTTGGGGAATATCTACCGGGTTGGAAGCAATGATGCTAGGTAGTTTAGCAAAAAGATAAATAACCAAGCAGATATTCCCCAAGCACTCTGGAC